CAGGTCTCCGTGATGCACGCCAGATCTGCCCGCTCATCCAGGATTAAGTCCTGGATAAAGGTCGTTTTTCCAGGATTAAGTCCTGGATAAAGGTCGTTGAGAAGTGATAAATGATTACCAGGCCTTTTTTTTTGTCATGTCAGGAGCGACTTGAGAAACTGCAAGTCACTTCTGGTGTGAGGTAATTGGCTGTCAGCAAGGATGTTGCCCAGGGGACATTATTACTCTTCCACCATTACAAGTTGTTCATGAAGCACTTTTGGAGAGAGAAGAATTGTGAACTATAAACAGTTGATTTCTTTGACTTTTCAAACAACTGAAATACATTTTAAATAAACATTAATACTACATATCTAATAATGATGTTAACTTTCAGATTTTCTAACCCAGCAAATAAGTGTGACTGTGGGGTTGATTAGTCATATTTAGAGCATTCTGCTTGAAATCATTGTGTCTCAATATAGCCTTGATTAAGAGCAGTTAAGTCAGATTCAGTGTCTTTTTTAAGAATGACATCTGTATTTCAGATACTTTCTTTAAGCAAAGTACTAATGCAATATTATGACCTTTTAAAAAAACTAGCAATATCTTCTGCTTCTTGTTTTAGGGAAGCAATGTTATGGAGGATCAAGATCTCTTGGAAATTGGAATACTTAATTCTGGACACAGACAAAGAATTTTACAGGCAATCCAGCTCCTTCCAAAGGTATTGTGTTCTTGTTTTTCTTATCCAGAGTCCATTGTTCTAAGAACCTTCCCTCTTGTTCTCATTCTCTTTCTTTGTAAATAAAAATATCTTTCATGTCTAAGCAGAAATATTCTTTTGGGCATCACTGTTTCCAACGTGATGTTTAGCCCTTTTAAAATATGTAATGTATAATTCATACTAGTGATTTTTTTCTAGCAACATTTCACATAAGAGGAGAAACAGCAGTAAAATATAAAACCCCTAGGGGAAATTTCATAAGCTGATAATATGATACAAATTTTTTTGATGCTGCTTTCGTGATCTTCATATAGTTGTGCGCTTTTAAGCAATCAAATTGTGTTGTTATAACACATAAGTTTACTTTTTCCTGTGTCCTTCATAATACAACAAAATCTGTTTAGTAGCATATTGATATAACCCACAAAATATTTCTATTTGGGAATCTGTGTTATTTATCAACACAGTCTTCACTCCCCAATGAGAAGGGTTTTTTTTATAGTGATTCTAAAATCTAGTTTAGGCAATGTTTGATGAAATGACATCAACTAAAGATTTCTTGTAGTAGTTGCTATGAATAGGAATTTCTACATCACCAAAAGAATCACATATTTTTATGGCTGGGTTTTTAATGTTGCACTGTGTATATGTGTAGATACCATTCTCAAACAGTATGGACTGTCTGAAACATTGGATTACCTCTAGCTTCTAGTGGATTCCAAAATGTTATGGAAAAATCCTTTATAGATATATATTTTCTGAACTAGTTGTATATTACCCACAGTAACCTTTGTGAGTTTCATGATTATTGTGTCATTACTTTGTTACTGTTTTATTACTTGATTGTAAATTTTTTGTTTCTAATTTTACAATGTTTTAAACGGTATGGTATACAATAAATAATATCTTAATAAATAAATGGATAGATATTTCAAGGAACCCAAATTTGCTACTAAAAAAGCTGAGGAGAACATATTTAGCCAGGACTCTGAATGGGAGGGAGACAAATGAGGCTATCACAACAAGTGCCCTTTTCCAAGTTCCTTGTACACTATTGATCTCTGTCCCAAACCTGTCATTTTCCTCACCTGAGTCTCCCGCAGAGGTCTTTGTAAAGAACCACAAAAAAGCCTCCAAAATAATATCTCTCTTGGCCTTGGCAAATCTTCTCCATGACCCCGAGAATGTTCTTGGATATGTGGCTTTCAAAATATTTACCAACAATCTTTTCATCATGAGTTTTGTTGTTTGGGTATTCATGAGAGAACACATCGAACGTAAATAAAGGTCTATTGCTGAATAACCACTTGTTTTAAAGATGCATTGTTTTCCAAGTGTTAACCTGTTCGGCTGATGAGTTCTAGAGGAAATTTACTGAAGGGAGGGAGGGAGTCCTAATTATACTGCACTGTGAATTCTGTTAACACTGATTAAACATAAGCTGTTATATGATTCTGACTCAGCTTTTCCCAAAAGTGAATCCCAAAAGCATATTTTGTAAAAAAAATAAATAAATCCTGCGCCACTCTGTATCACTGCTGGTCATATTTTCTCCCATCTTTTATTTTACTGATAAAATTGGATCACATTTTCTCCCATCTTTTATTTTACTGATAAAAAAATCCTCTTGCCTAGATGTCCAATGAAGTATTCTGATATAAAAGATGTGACTAAAAGAAAAACTAAAAGAATGCCATATCCAGAGACACTATAAATTAATTTGTCTTGCCTCAGGAATATATCCACTTCAACCAACTCTACTTTGCTTTGGAGAAATGAATAAATACTATGTAGGTGAGGGTAGCAGCAGCTTAAAAAACATTTATGTTTCACCAAGAAAGACAAGGAGATCTAGTGTGGGACAGAACTAGGAAGTCCTATACAGCAGTCGTTCTCAACCTTTTCTGTCTTAGGTCTCACCTGTCACTCTGTCAGATAGCATGGGTTCCATCATGACGGAAACAAAAAGGCCACTGTTTCCAATAAAGAGATGTATTTATTTATGTACAGATATATTGTATTTATCATTAAAATATATTATAAGAACTTGAAAAATTATAGTAGTTTTTTGGGGGGAGAGTAAAAATAAACAAAGCAAAAAGTAATTGCATAATTGTAATGAATGGTATTGAGCATGAATTTTACTGATATGGAAACTGTAAAATATTAAAAATATAAATGTTTAAAACTGCAGTAGTTTTAGTGTGATTTTTCATTTTTCATTTTATTTTTGCTATGCCTAGTCTACCTGTGTACCATCTACAATATTTCTACAGCATAATGATCTAAGAGTTTTGCAAAGTCTAGTTGGTTTGATCAGAATTTGACTTTCAAAAAATATTTGGAGAAAGTGGCTGTTGAGGCCTAACATGTCAAAGATGTGTGAAAATACGTCTATTTGTTAGAAACGTAGAAAGACATAGAAAGAACAGGTGCTAAGAAGACATGATGGAGATGCATTAAGGGGAAGCCGACATTGGAGGAACACAAAATCATTATGCCCAACATAGTTCACCTTTTGCCAGCAAATATAAAAAATGGCATGGTTTAAATTTTAAGGAAATAGCATGCAGGGACTTCTAGATCCTTGGAAGAGCATTTAGTTTGAGACTGAATATGTACCAAAAGCATCAACCCAAGAAGCAGTGTTTGCCATCATAAAACTGGGACAACTTTATATGGGCTTTCTGAATAATTACATAATATAAGAAACAGAAACACAGGTGCTCAAATCGTCAATGTTTGAGAATATTATCTCTCTCAATAACATGCTATTGATTTTGTGGGATTATTGCCTTGATCCACTCACAACTGGAAAAAGGGCTGTTTCTGTACTTTTCCCTGCTAATTTCCTAGAATATTCAGAATTTAAAATTGACAGATCTTTTTCCCAGAAGCGTTTTATTAAAACTCTTCAGTCCTCCTGTTTATCTTTATGCCTGAATTCTATTCAACTTCAGTATGGATTTTGCACAATTAATCAACATCCAAAGTTGGATGGATCTGTAACACTTGTCTTTTCAGAAATTTACAGGTACCACACCTCAAGTATCAAGGCATAAGCAGACATGAGGAATCTGAATTTCCCTGCAGCAAGAAAAAAAAAAACCCTAATCAGGTAAGCAGGAAAGAGAATCACTAGGGAAGAAGAAAAGCATACTTCCAAATCTGAAACTTGAACTTCCTCTTTCCTTCTAATCCAAGCTATCCAGAGTACTCAAACACCCCTGGTCACTGAATGCCTCCCATTTACTACTATATTATTTTATTTGCTTTCCAACTGTCCTTTATTGTTGCTATCCATAGATCATTAGTCAAATATTCCTTCTACAGAAAGGAGGAACAACTGTCCCCAAAATTCAAGCAACAATCCACAGTGCACACATGGAAACATTTTTTTCCTCAACTTTAGATATTCCATTCTGCTATTTGCTACTGGTAACCAAAGACTCATGATTTATTTCTTTTCTTTGCAGGATATAAGCCAAGGCACATGAACAAGACCAAAGAAGTAGAGACACTAATCCCATTTCAACTCTCTTGATTACATGGATGGGCATAATTCCATTTACTACACATGTAGTTGAATCCTATCTACAGTATTTTTATTTACTCAGCAACTCCTCGAACTATGGATTATTATTTAGATCACTTCAAGCCTATGCTACCTTGTTTATTGGATTATCTCCACCAGGGAGTACAACCCTATGATATCTCCTAGATCTTATAGTACCAACATCTGTTGTATCCATCTGAGGTGAATGAAAGGTATGCAATTGTGGATTAAGTGTATGTCAGTGGTACCAAAACACAAGATCTAGTCAATTATCTCTGGATTACTTGTCCCCATAAATACATTGTCTTGCCTCTATCCTCTCTGAAGACCTCCCCGATCCTTCCTTTTGTTCCCCAATACCCACAAGCTTAGCTAGCAGAGTTGTGCAAATGGCTTGGAAGCAATAGAGTCCTGATGTCCATAGACCTTGCTATTCCCTTCCGTGCTGAAGACTGTTCTTGGTCCATATGGAGCATAGAGATGTCTTCATTACGGGAAAGTGGTAAAGTAGTTACAAATTTGGAAAGATTAGAAATTGTTGTAGAGTTCCTTTTCTCTGCTAAGATTAGTAAAACCATGACTCAGACCTATTTGTAATACTTAGGGTTGTCTCCCTTTTATAGTGAATTAAATGATACCAAATCTACTATGTTTTCAAAAATTTAAAACAATTCTTGATATTCAATTTAAAACAATTTTTACCCAGTTCTGCTTTATATTGTTTAGCTTTTCTATTATGTTTGGTGGTGGATAGTACTTTGCTTATCCTCTCATTTAACACAATAACCATTTCAGAACTTGCTTTCCCATATCCTGTTTGTTTATAGATATTGCCCCACTGCCTTTGTGGGCTGTCTGTAAATGTACAGACTGAAAACTTTTAAATGTTTAAAATGTGGAAGCCAGATAATTTCAGAGATCTCAACATACTACTCCAGTCTACTGTAGTTTCAGCTGAACTGGCTGACTGTTATTTCTAGACATAATTGGTATTAGCCTTTAAACCTTGAAAAAATGTTGAAGGAGGTCAAAGGGAATATCTTCTCCAATATGCCAGTTCAGGGGAATATCTGTTATCTTTAGTCTTGTCTTTATATGAGACAAAATGGATAGCTATTTGTGACAGTGCCTTTTTAGTGGTGCGGAGGAGTTTGTGGATGTACAGCTCTCTAAAGATCCATTGGACATATTTTTTTGTAGCATTCAGACACTTGTTGAAGTTCAATAAGTCTTTGATATTGCTGAAGGTGAATACTACAGCCCAGCCCTGACAAAGCAGATTGTACACCTTGAAAGCTTGTGCTATAATAAATCTGTTAGCTTTGAAGGTGTAATGCGGCTCTTTTTTGTTTGATCAAAGACATGTTTCTGCATGCTTCTGGTTTTCTATCATCACACTACACTTGGCTTTTAATTTTTTTATATCACCTGCTGTTTCCAATTT